GTAAATTGTCAGAATTTTAAATTTTTAATTTCTCTAATGCGCGTTGTTTGATTTTATCGTCTGCACAGTATCATCTTTCAAACCCCTTATGGCTCTTTAGAATTCCATTGACAATCTCTGTCCACACTGTGCATTGCTCTCGCGAGATCCCAAAGTCCAATACTGTGTCCCGAGCTATGGTTTCTTGGAAAACCAAATTTCATGAAAAGTTTCTTACAGAATGATGTCATTAGAGTATGGATGAAACAATTTCCCTGTTGGCTCGGTGGCAGTGGCAAGAAAACAGTAATCTTTTTTTTTTTTTTGTCTTGGCTTGAGTGTGATAGGTCTCCTTTCTCCGTCAATTGTTAAGCGTTGCATAGGACCTCCAGCTGATTAACTTAATTTTTATAAGTACTTGTAAATGTTCAAACCGGTCGTCTTTTAATCCGAGCAGATAATGTACAAGTTTCTGATTCATAGAGTAATACTTGTTCATTCAATTTTCGTAAGTTTGGGACATGTAAGGAGTGTGGAATGTTCGAGAGCCAAATCTTGAGAAATTTGTTACATGAATGCCACGAAGAGCTTTGTCGATGTTGAAGTCTTCTATTATGTGAGACCCAGTACATTTGAAGTTCTCAACGCTTTGAAGGACTTAATATTGAGTGATTTCAATTTGGATGTTTCAGATGTGATCTTCCACTCTCAATACATCAAATATTCAATACACTGGACATAAACACCAACCCATTCTCACACTTTGAACTGGAAACAAAGCTCAAAGAGTTTACTAACAACAAAACACCTGGAATTATTGATTACACACCAACACTGTGGAAAGATCCAATATTTCATGACCTTCGTCTAAAGTATTGCAAACACACATACTGGAACAGAGAAAAAAAAATCAAAGACGTCACATTCTGTTTTGACTTTCGCAAGACATTTGATTTTATCAGCAGAGAACTCGTGTTCAAAATTCGCCAAATCTATAGAGTACCCTCCAGAATTGTTAAGGTAATTAGTGCTCGGTACAGAAACACAACTGATATCATTATATCTCCTGATGGTGAAACTCATTTCTGGGAAGTTAAAGCAAGATTTATGTAAGATAACACGCTTGCTTTTTTTTCTCTTCATAGTTGTTCTGGACTACATTATGTGTCTTTCTCTTAGACAACATGGAAGAAAAATGATCCGTTTTGAAACATCCACAATCCCAGACTGACCTTGACATTGCAGATGATCTTGCATTAATTTCTCAATGTATCAAGGACGCAGCATCCTTGGTCCAAACACTTCAGCAAGCAACGAATAAAGTCTATACTGAAACGTGCACAGTATACTAGGGTCGGTTGGTCAAAGACTGTATGAAATAGATCACAATGACTCCATTCACTCCACCAGAAATTTGGAAACGGCATGGTGTACTGCTTAGTATTCGCACCGGAAGCTCCAATCCGAACATTTCAGAGTGTTTGGATGTCAGTCTGAGGAGAGTGTAGAAGATTTGGAAAGAGTTGGATGATATATCCAGTCAACGTCATGGTGGTTGGAAGAATAGCGACGTTATGCCTTCTTTTATTAACCGACTGTGCGTCAGACTCAGCACGGAGGCCTAAATAATGTTCCTTGAGGTGGCGGTTTAAGAAGGTACTGCTGGACACTGCAAAATGAGAACTCGGTCATATCTGTTAAACATTTTTTTGTGACCTCATCACTCCTTGCATCTGGTCATTTCACTCACCAAACTGTTACCCCTTGAATTTTCATGTTCTAGGCGAAGTTGTGTGTAACTCTTTGTAACACGAACGATGAACTGAAGGCAAGGATTATGACAGCATTCACCAATTATATAATGTGACGGTTCAGAAAAAAACATGCAAGTCGTCTGGAGGACACAATTTGAAAACAATGGTGATTTTATTGAGAAAAAATCTTTAGTATTATAAGATTTTTTGCTACACATATCTGTCAAAATGAGAGGTCAGTGTTGATTTGATTCCTGCCTAATTAAGACGACAATTTATCCATCAATTGCACACTATATATACCGGGTTTAACAGAAAAATGTCTAAATGTTAGATCAAGATTCGTACCGTTGTATCATGGAAATAATTAGAGGTATCTTACTGGAATTTCCTTATATTTTTATAACAATATTAGACACTACGTAGAGCAAGAAGAACTTATAATTACTCTCCAATCTTAACAGAGGAATCCTGATAAATTGGATCATGAATGAAATGTTCATTAATTATTCATAGCTAAGGAAAAGAAATTCATGAAGGATTGAACTATATATATATATATATATATATATAGTCGGGATTATCTCGCCGACTAGTAAGGGAGGTGGGGAAAGCAAAGACGGTTTCAAGGCTTGCAACGAAAAGTCTGGCGTTGCTTACAAGCGAAGTCTTCCTTGTAACGGTAACAAGTCAAATGACTAGTAACACTCGGCACTCTCCTCTGCGTAACAAGTGAGCTCAACAAAGGATCTGTAGAGAAAAGACTCAATTTGCGACTGAAAGTAGCACCTTTTAAACTCTCAAGGTCTCGTTCAACGTGATACGACGAGGCCAGAGTGTCTATAAAAATCGTCAATCCCTTGGCCCTGGTTCGGCCCGGGAGAAATATTACTATTTTAGACGCCGCCGCCAGAGCACATAATTCCCCCCCTGACCTACCCTCGGTGAGTACAATACCTTGTTCTTTTTTTTAGTCACCACAATATATATATATATATATATATATATATATATATATATATATATATATATACACACACACGAGATATTTCTAGCATATTTAAATGATCTTGGGTATCTCTAACTTAACTTTCTCTCCTAGAGGAACAAGGTGCCCACACATTTAACATACTATTTAATTTCCAAGTCTTTCATCACTGCTCTTTGGACTTCTCGTAGTTGAAACTCCTCTCACGAGCTAAACACCTTATGAATTGAGGTCGATTTTTTTCTAATGTATGTTTATTTTTAGGTAGAAATGGTGATCCCACTTTCTGCTGTGACCTCCTCGTTCAGTTTTCCTATCCACTGTTACCTCAATTTTTTAAAACTTAGTCACCGATCTCTTGGTGGTTCTTGAATGCATTTGAAAATGGAAGTCAGTGTATGAATGTTGGTACCATTACTGAAGGACCGAATGTTCTTTTTCTAATCAACATTGCTCAATACGGAAGATAGTAGAGCTGATACAAAATGATTTTATACAGTTCACTTTCTAGCTGAATTCCTCGTATAGCTTTGCAGTGACTCTTGCGTCAAATGCAGTCAAAAGCCTAAACGCCTTAGCTGAAAACCTAGAGAAAAGAAACTCTATTAACTTACTGTTAAAATAAACATTTTGTGGTATGGACAATTATGCTGTCCCATCCGGTATAGATATACATTCATTCAGAAAAAAATAATTTTTCTTACAATGGAAAATAGTCTACATATTTAAATAAACCCATAATAGTTGATAATACAGAATATTCAGTTCGTCAATCTCTTCACAAACTTAGTATAGATGTTATTTCAGGCAAGGTAAAATGAGGTATTACTACTTTTAAACTGCCATTAATTTCGATCTCCTTTCATTCCCGTGCCCATTTCGAACAATAAGTAGATGTCGGTAGAGTTCCTTTCACATACATATGGTTACTGATACAAATAATATTTAATAATTGCAAAATGGGATACTTGGAATAAAAAGGTGTTATTAGTAATGACGAAAGATTAACAATGTCTTCCAAAAAGGTTAGATTACATATAAATTAACTGGCACTGCCGGTTTTCCATTTGAACCGTTTTCAAAGCAGCAGTATTTTGTTGGTGAATGAGAAAATTACACTGAATATTGTGTCCTAAACATCTACTCATCAGTTTTTTCTCAAGACATATTTCATTGAAAGACATGACATGTCATGCGGTGGTGGTGCTGTTATTATTATTATTATTAGTAGTAGTATAACCTGAATTATTATTAATAGTAATAGCATTAATATGAGCAGCAGTATTATTAGTAGTAGTACTAGTATTAGTATTACTACTATTGTCGCTTCTCAGACCAATCAAGCATAACTTCTGTGTGCCGTGTCTCTTTAGAACGTCGGCGATAATGTCTCTTTACTCTTTCCTGTTTTTTTTTATGTTAGTAAAATTTGTTCAGAAAACTTTTTTCACTCATCCATTTACTCAAGCTTTTCCTTAAAAGAATGTACTTAAGTAAATATTGTGCTTAGATTTTGGAAGGCATCTTTCTCTATCCCAATTTCAGTGTCGCAATTTCTATCCTCTGATAAAAGAAAACACTTCCCAGATATTTAAAATGTAGTACTAACTCAATATATACTGCCGTGGCATTCGACATACCCTATTTTTTTAAAACTTTTTTTCTTCCTAGACATTTCTATATAAGCATCGTCGCTGAGAGGTAATCCTTTTATGTGTATTTACTTAAATCGTAGATGTATCAGAGCACCGTCAAGCACATATTTGAGAAACTGTGAATCATTGCCTTCAGCTTTACGGAAGAAATTCGTAGTTGACTTCCGACAAGTTCAAGAAGAACCACTCCTTGATGCGATATCAGGGCGAGTCCTTCAAATAGGCAAGGTTAAAAGCAAGGTCAAATAATACGTCGGTCCTAGACTAGTAAAATTTTATAAGTCTGTTGCTTAAATAATATTGAAAATAAAATGTAGATATTCAGAAAGCTTCTACGTTTAACGTTTATAAACCAGAAGTATTGGCTTTAAAATATCAAGAGATAAATTAAACAGAACAGTATACAAGGTATTATAGGATATTTTTGGGTGTCTTTGTGCGATGATTAGGAATCTCGATTAAAATATGGGCGTAGCAAAACCACATTGATACGAGCCGAATTAGTTATATCCCAATATATATCCTAAAAATAGTCCGTGTGAAAATTTCAGGGCTTTCCTCTTTAATGATGTTCTTTGTTTCTTTTTCTCACTCAAATCAAACTGCATCTTGCATGTGATTTTTATGTCTTCAATCGCGAACAAAACGGATCATTTCATCATTTATGATTTAATTCGACGGCTTTTGTGCTTGACTTTTTGTTACTTTTATTACTTCGTTTATTTCTTTGCTTCCTTCCTCCGTTGCTATATTTCTTTGCTTCCTTCCTCCGTTGCTATATTTCTTTGCTTCCTTCCTCCGTTGCTATATTTCTTTGCTTCCTTCCTCCGTTGCTATATTTCTTTGCTTCCTCCCTCCGTTGCTATATTTCTTTGCTTCCTCCCTCCGTTGCTATATTTCTTTGCTTCCTTCCTCCGTTGCTATATTTCTTTGCTTCCTTCCTCCGTTGCTATATTTCTTTGCTTCCTTCCTCCGTTGCTGTATTCCTTTGCTTCCTCCCTACGTTGCTGTATTCTTTTGCTTCCTCCCTCCGTTGCTCTATTTCTTTGCTTCCTTCCTTCTTTGCTCTGTTTCTTTGCTTCCTTCCTTCTTTGCTCTGTTTCTTTGCTTCCTTCCTTCTTTGCTCTATTTCTTTGCTTCCTTCCTTCTTTGCTCTATTCCTTTGCTTCCTTCCTTCTTTGCTCTATTCCTTTGCTTCCTTTCTTCTTTGCTCTATTTCTTTGCTTCCTTTCTTCTTTGCTCTTTTTCCTCCTTTGCTTTTTTTCTTTGCCTCTTGCTATTTCTTTGCTTCCTTTCTTCTTTTGCTCTATTTCTTTGCTTCCTCCTTTCTTCTTTGCTCTATTTTTTTGCTTCCTTTCTTCTTTGCTCTATTACTTTGCTTCCTTTCTTCTTTGCTCTTGCCTATTTTCTTTTGCTTCCTTCCTCCGTTGCTATATTTCTTTGCTTCCTTCCTCCGTTGCTATATTTCTTTGCTTCCTTTCTTCTTTGCTCTATTTCTTTGCTTCCTTTCTTCTTTTTGCTCTATTACTTTGCTTCCTTTCTTCTTTGCTCTGTTTCTTTGCTTCCTTCCTTCCTTGCTGTGTTGTTTCTTCCTTCCTTCCTTTCCTTCCTTGTCCCCCCTCCCTACGTTGCTGTATTCCTTTGCTTCCTCCCTCCGTTGCTATATTTCTTTGCTTCCTCCCTCCGTTGCTATATTTCTTTGCTTCCTCCCTCCGTTGCTATATTTCTTTGCTTCCTTTCTTCTTTGCTCTGTTTCTTTGCTTCCTTCCTTCTTTGCTCTGTTTCTTTGCTCTGTTTCTTTGCTTCCTTCCTTCCTTTGCTTCCTTCCTTCTTTGCTCTGTTTCTTTGCTTCCTTCCTTCTTTGCTCTGTTTCTTTGCCTCCTTCCTTCTTTGCTCTATTTCTTTGCTTCCTTTCTTCTTTGCTCTATTTCTTTGCTTCCTTTCTTCTTTGCTCTATTTCTTTGCTTCCTTTCTTCTTTGCTCTATTTCTTTGCTTCCTTTCTTCTTTGCTCTATTTCTTTGCTTCCTTTCTTCTTTGCTCTATTTCTTTGCTTCCTTTCTTCTTTGCTCTATTTCTTTGCTTCCTTTCTTCTTTGCTCTATTTCTTTGCTTCCTTTCTTCTTTGCTCTATTTCTTTGCTTCCTTTCATATCTTTCTTTACATTATCGTATTCCCTTCCTTCCATTTTCTCACTGAAACCAAGCAGCGTCTTTGGTATATTTTTTTTTTCAGTTTTCCAAGGAAGCAAAATGAATAATCAATTATTTATAATGAATTGAAAGGGCTTCATATACTTACCTGCTCAGTTACTATCAAGGGTGAGGTAAGCGGAATATGTTGTTTGCACATATTACGATATTGTCCGAGGTTTTTTAAGTGTTGCTTTGGAAGAATACTGGTTAAATGTCTAAAGGTAGGTACCTCCACAAGATGGCTAAAAAAAGAGAGCATAGCATGATGAAAAAGACGCCAAACTTGACGAAAACAAAATTTTATCGTCTAAATGTTTGTTATTATTAAGAGGAAAGGTTAAAATATTTTTAGGGTATTTTTTTTTCCATTTTTTTTTAATCGTTCCTAGCACGTCCGAAATTTTCGTTAAAAAATCTAGTTTTTTTTGAGTCAGCAAAATTGACCATTTTTTTTTCCATTTTAAAAAAACTGGAAATCTGACTTTGAAATTTTTTAAATATCAATTATCATTTTTTCAAAACTTATTTTAAGAAAATCAGAAATTATAATGTTTATTTAAAATATTTTTGAACCAAACTTAACTTAGCTTTTGTGCCAAAAAGATGTAATTTGAAAAATAAAACAAAGCAGGTCATAAACTTTCGCGTCTCTTGACATGTGATGAATGATATATTTACGAATTCCATGAGGCTAATTTGTTCTACGGAAGGAGAAAAGTGAAATAATTTACATTTACGTGAACAAATTATTTACCCCGTTATTTTTAACGAAAACTTTCAGCGGTCTATTTTTTTTTTTTTTTTTGTACTTAGCTTTCACCTTTACATTTTTGATGCTTTATGGGAAATATATTGTAAAGAAATTAAAATAAAACTGTTAAGAGTGACATTAAATTTCATATTTCTTAAGAAAGGTATCTAATTAATTTTAGGTACCTTTCTTATGAAATTTTATCAGAATTGTACATAAAATACTATAATTTTATGTACATTTATTATTTCTACTGTTATTTGTATTTGCATTAATTTTATTATTAATTTTGATATTTCATTTATGGAAAAATGTCGTAACTGAGATTAATATAAAAATAAGATCATATAAATTTCATAAGATGATACTGATACTTGTAGGTACCCTTCTCAGTTGAAATTGAAAAAATCAAATTAACTTCTCCACACGTGTTTCGCAAAAAAGTAAAGGCCTTAACAGCGGAGAACATTGCTTAACTCAAATAACGCAACTTAATTATATTCTGGTTGGTCTTCCGTATTTTATAATTACAGCATGATTATAAGCACAGAATTACATTTCTTAATTACTGGGTATCTTCTGATTAGTCAAAATGATACAATTTACAACGCGCTAAAAAAAGATCTCTCATGAGGACACTTATGAAAGCCGATGCGGCTTTTAACTAATTTTATAAGATTTTAACAACTTTAATGTAAAATCTATTATAATTAATGAAATAACAAATAATTGTATTAAAAATTCATTTTTCATCGAAATTTTTTTTTTGCTTTCAGAAAATATTGTCCATATTCATAAAAAACAACTAAAAGCAAATAAAAGCATTTGAAATTAAATAATATATTTGTTTTATTGAGTTTTGTATGTTACAATTCAGAGCTGATTTTCAGGTACTGCGTATCCAAATAAAAACAAAAAAAACATGATTTGCATTCCTCAAAGCCCTGTGCTTTTAATTATTGTAATCACTAAAACCGATGCGATCGAATTTCTAGCGTTTTCATAAAATTAGTTATGGGGGGGTAATAAATATTTAAAAAAAATATTTCTACCATGACTTTCATAAAAAAAAAACATTTACAATAATTTCGATCATCTGTGAATAGTTTCTGAAAGTTTCATTAACATCCGATAATTATTTCTATTTTTGCACGATTTTTCAAATTAATGTGTGTCATACCAAATAAACGTGCTAAAAATTCTGTTATTTACTAGTTCCGCTGATACAAATAGAAACAAGGTTTTTTTTAATCAAAATTTAGAATGTTCTAAAAGAAGGAAAATTTTTTAAAAATAATTAAAAAAAAACTTTGGTCTTTCCTCTTAATAACATAAGCATTTAGATAATAAAATTTAGTTTTCGGCAAGTTTGGCGTCTTTTTCATCAAGCTATGCTCTTTTGTTAGCTATTTCGTGGAGGTACCTATCTAAAGGTCAGTCTCAAGTAATACGTTTGGCTTTTGAGTTTTATATAATCATGGCCACTATTTTCTGGCTGGCGCGCGTGGTCGCTTGATATTGGTTCAATATGTTTACTTTTATGAAAATCAAAGCTTTTTCCTGGATAAGTTAGTAAGGAGATATTTAATATAACCTATATCCTTAATAAAAAAATATTTTTTACTTCGTTTATATAACCATTTATTTAAATGTCATTGGTCAGATATCTGCAAAATGGCGATTATGAATTGACAGATCGGAGTGGAATTCAAATTGAAAGAATACAATTAGGAAAAGAGAAATTTTATTAGGTTAAAAATACAAAGTGCCCTATATATTTCCGAAACATTTATAAATTTAGATGTAGAATCATAGAATATATTTTCTTTAAAGGAAAGCTATAATTAACACACTATAGATGAATTATATTAAAAAAAAAATCAAAGTTCATAAAACTTGATGTATCAGCAACCTATAAAACAAAGAAATAGAATGTCACAATTCAAGTTTTAATGTTAAGCGTTGTTAAGAATAAATAACGAAACTCTTTCGACATATTAATTGGATGTAAATGAAATTTGAATAACTCTCATATATATGCACACCACTCAAAAAGACAAGTGACTGAAAAAGGTGTGCTCATGAAAAAAGTCTTAAAATTATTCGGGAGGGAGAGGGTTCAATGACGTAATGGTTATTCATTATTCGGTGATTTTCATTGGTGAGCATATTGTTTTCCCCAACTATCCTTCTTATGACATCACGGGTTAGGCGAAATGAAAATGCCCTGTCATTTGAACGTCTTATTTCGATTGTCTGATGTATTCGTGACGGTAGTTTTTCAGACCTGTACCAGGCAATTTATATATATATATATATATATATATATATATGTGTGTGTGTGTGTATACATGTGTGAGAGAGACTATAATTGATGTAAAATGCATTTTATTTTAAGCAGAATTAGAATTACTTATATTTAAGCTAATGATTTTTTTTCAACGCATTTGCCTTTCTTCAGATCTCTGTTGATCGGAGTGACTTAGATGTTTCACGTTAAGCTATCCATGGTTAGGGGTATCTCGTCTTATTCACTACTTAATTCCAGCTCCCATATTTTCAAGTCAGTCCAAGGCTGTACTAAGCAGCACCAGGTTAAAAAAAAATGCACAATCACTATGCCACAAATGTCTTGAACCAAAGTTTTAAATCCATATGATTTCATCCAAAGAGACAGCAAATATGTGGACCTTAGAGCGAATATAACTAATTATTTGTCATTATTTGCATGTTGGTGAGATGTTACATACATTTGTTAACACCATATCGAGTCAATCAATGCCATTTATTTATTTATTTATATTTATATATATATATATATGCAAGAAAATTAAACACTTTATTTCTGTTTTTGTTTTATTTCAATAACAATTGATTCTTGGTGTCTTCGATCTGCAAGGAAAACGTTGAAAATTTCCCAAAACAAAATATAAACAGTATCCGTATGATGCTTACGGCGTACATAAATTTATCTTTGAAGGAATGGTTTCTTAGAACACACAAATATTGGCTACAGGAGCATCTATTACATAAAGGGCAATTCTTTTCTATCGTGGACAAACTAATATAGTAGAAACATATACATACACACACACACACACATATATATATATATATATATATATATATATATATATATATACAAAAACGCCTTCAGCATTTATTACTATGGTTTAGGGTTTTAGTTTCCATAGACAGTGATTTTGCTAATATTCCATCTTCTTTATAGTAACTTAGAACAAAGAAAACATTCGAAGTTTTATTTTAGTTTCTTCAATAATTTCATACATATATTAATGAGTGAATAAAGGGTGTGTGGTTAGAAGGCCAGTTGCCTCTTGCTAGGATCGAAACCCGGCTGAATTGGAATGTCGGAGATTATACTTTTAAGCCGATGGTGACGGCAGGGATAAAGGTGAATTTAAGCGTATTTATTTTTAGATAAACAAAATGACAGAAAGAACTCGATTCGTTTTACCTTAGTCTTGCATTATTTGCAGTAATAGTCACAGTTTACAAACTCACACTTCCTCCCCAAAGAATTCAAGAGAAATATATATATTTTCAGGAGCATATATATTGTTATCCACACCTGTTTCGCTGTATCAGAGCTCATTAGTGACGCTAGACATCCGGTTGCCTCTAGCTAGGATGGGAACCTGGCAGAAATATAAATATAATTTAATAGAGTGACTGTAGGTAGCATGTAAATATGCACATATATTCATTACATATTTACTGAGTATTGTTTCTATGAATAATTCATAATAAATAGATTTTATTTCAAATAGATATTGTTTTAGTAGGATAACTGAAAATTAGTGAATGATCTAGCTTAACTTTAAAGGTAATCGCCACGAATATTTTCTAACGAGAACGCTCTCATGTTTTAGAAACTCAGAGTTGATGTTTGGTGAATAGAAATAATCTATTCTCATTTGTCTATATGCTATGTCCGTTAAGCACATGAACGAACATTGTTCTTTAAAAATAAACCTGTTATTTATTGTTCTTAGCAAAGTTTGTCATTTTGCTATGTCCAAATCAATGCCATGACGAACATTTACACAAGCTACTTAGATGTGATAACCGCTCATGTCTTCTGCTCCTATTGCAATCACAAAGTCTTGTGTATATTACATGTTCCATGCCTTATTTTCGCAATATTATTTCTAAAAATTTCAATTGACACTTTTTAATTTCGTATATAAGTCTGCTTTTTGCATTCATTTTCTATAACTTTGTCCCTGCTC